CCAGTGCCCTGGAGTTGAGGGCAGCTCTAGTCTCCCCCCTGCCGCCTCATTCTCCCCTCCCCACATTTTGTATAAAACTTTACTTTTTTTTTTTAATGGTGGGAGTTGGGGTGGGTGCCCAGGGCTGTCTCCTGCCCCAGTGGATTTCTGAGCTCTGGGCAAAGTGGTGGGTGTGGGGGGGAGGGGGAGGTGTGGGGGTGGTAAGAAGGGGGTCCACCTCCGTTCTGGGAAATTTGTATTCGAACTGAGGTTTGTCGGTTTGTCGGAATCGAGCCTCAGCACCCAGGAACTTTTTTTTATTACAATCGAGTAGGAAGTAAAGCCGTTCGCCCTGGCCCCTCTCTACTGCACCCCCGTTTTGGTCCCTGCCTTCCCTGCCCCTCCAGGGGCTATGAGTGCCTGGATTTCTCACACCCCACAAGGTCACAGCAGGGGAGAGAGGGGCAATTTTATGATGAACCAAAAATTCCGTTGTGGGGGGGAAGTGAGGGGGGTGCAGGAGGTTGCGGGGTACCACCCATGGGCCACCAATCTCTACAAGTGCCTGCTAACTGTCTTGTCTCACCCCCCACCCACCCCCAGCACTGGTCCAACCCCTTCACCTCCAGCCGCTCTTAGGACTGGCCCATGGGCAGGCGGGTGGGCTGGGGGGGCGGGGCAAGGGGGTATCCTGAAACCAAACTGGAAACCCCCTCTTGCCTCCCCAGCTGGGGCCCCTGGGGTGGGGTTTGGGAGGGGCTGTGGTCAAGCCTTATTCTGTATTGGGGATGGGGTTGGGGGGAGCGGGGAGGGGCGGGGCTGCTGGAGAATGTATTCAAACCAATAAAACTTTGGACCTTTCTGAGTGGCTGATCAATCCTGGGGGCTGAGTCTGGGTACCACTTTGGTTTGATAAAGACAGGCTGGGGGTGGCCAAGAGACTCCTTGCTTAAGGAAAGGGATGAGCCCCTCGGGGGTTTGGTGATACAAGGCCTTTATTCCTTGGGGACTGAGCTTAGGGGCCTGCTGGAGCCTTATCACCTCCCTGGTCACCTAAAGTGCTCCCTCTAGGTGGGGGCCCCAAGTCCTCATAACCCCAGCTCTCTCCATCACTGCTAACAGGTGGTTCGTGACGCGGTGGTGGCCCTTCAGGGCAGAACTACCCCTGTAGGTTTCCAAGACTACGTTTTCTAGAGTTGACAGCCTTGTATCACTACCCATGGTGGTTTCGAACTGTTAACCTTGTAAGCAACCCAAACACGTAACCCACATTGCTACCAGGAGCACCCTAGTTAGGGTTGGAATCCTTTTAGCATTACTTTGAGCATCCTGCCAGTATTCTCAGCCAATGAGGGACTCTCCTTATAGACAAGTCCTGGTGTCCCTGGAAATGGAGACCCTCTCAGGCACGTAGGTGATTTTTAGGGCAAATCCTGAGAAACAGCCCCAGCCAGCAAGTTGAGGGGATTGACTGACTGAACTACACAGCTGCTACCAAATGACTAACTGTGCCCAGCTAGGAGTTGTACTTTATCTCCTCTGGTGGACAGCGGAGGTGGGGGCCACCAGCTCAGCTAAGCGACTAGGATGCATTAAATGAGATCCGGTCTCTAAAATCTGTTCTCTCAACAACTCTGGTTTTCTTGGAAGCCAAGATGATGGGATCTCAAGAGCAGGGGCTGAGGATCACGGGCCCTGAAGGTCATTAGACTGGGAATCAAGATCGGAGAGATCAGCAGGCCGGGTGGGCGAAGGGGTTTCCCCAAGGTCTTGGGATTAGTGGGATATGGCCTATTGGGAGTGCCTTCACGGGGGGCCAGCAGGAGCTGGCTGGTTGCAAGCCTGAGTAGAGAGAACTATTAGGCTTCTCCTGATGCATTCTCCCCTAAAGCCAGCCTGGGTGTCTCATAACGGTTGGTAGCAAGGAGGATCTGGGGATGGGGTGCTGGCAGGAAACCCAGGCTCCTATGGTGGCCTGTGGCGACTGCTCCCTCTCCTGGGTGATGTAAATCACTCCCTGGGGTGGGGGCCACTGGGAGCGGCTGTGATGGGTTATTTCGGGAAGTTGGGCTGAGGCACGTCTCCTAGCAACACAGATGCCGCTGAAGAGTTATTGGTAGTGGTGTGATGGAAGAAGGGGGATGTCACTGGGTGGGTGGATGGAGGGGTGTTGGCGAGGAGGAAGAGGGTACGACCCTTAGCTCCCGAAGGGTGCTTATATCACGCTGCAAACCAGCTCTAAACAGGAGTCAAGACATTTTCTGCTCCAGGTCAGACTTCTCTCCTACCGGCCACTTCTTCCAGATGATTCTAGATAAAGGGGTTGATCTCATTTGGCCTCGGCTCTTCAAACGGCCTCTCCAATGGCCAAGACTCAATTCTATGTCCTCTGAGGTCACTGGTTCCCAGTCACTGCCATTAAAGTCAACAGTGATGCAGAACAGTTCTATAGGACAGGGTAGAACTGCCCCAGTGAGCGTCCGAGATTGTAATTCTTTTTTTTAAAATCATTTTATTGGGACCTCTTACAGACAACCTAACAGTCTAGAGACTGTCATTCTTTATGGGAGTAGAGAGCCCCGTTTCTCCAGTGGAGCTGGTGGTGGTTTTCAACTGCTGACCTTGTGGATCACAGCCCAGCCATAACCACTATGCCATCAAGGCTCTTCTTGGTTCAAAGTGAAAAGTACTCCATAGATCTTCAAGGGTCTTAATCTCGTCAGAGGGCCTCTTCATACCCATAGCAGCCAGCACCTCCACAGACCCCACCCCTTCCGGAAGCCTCCCAAGCATCCCTCAAGCCATGGGGTCTCTCGGATCGCTCCGTTGTTTCTGACAGTCTCCTCAAACTTGTCCCCCTAAATTGTTCAAGGTACATTAGAGATAGCTGCATCTCTCCAAGACTCCCTTCAAACCCGCCTGAACACCTTAGCACTCTCGAAGACAATCCATTCGCACCATCTATCAACATTCTCAGTCCTTACAAACATCCTGATAGGTTCTCTGGGGCCCGTCGCCCTCCGCCTCCCAGGAACCCCAAAGCCATCGTGGCAGTTGTCCACGCGGAGCCCACTGCGGAAGTTCTGGCCGTTAAGTAAACCGCCTCTACCCTGTCCGCCCGGCGAGCCCTGTCGGCCATACCCATCCAGTACCTGGTCCCTCGTGTTGGCCAGGTCTTGGGGCTTAGCTCAGAATTTCACTCCGAGCTGCCGTCAGAGGGCGGTAGAGGTCGCTGGGCCGGGAAACTACAAGTCCCAGAAAGCCCCACGCCTAACGGGGCGCGACACAGCCTCAGGCATTGCGAGGGCCACGGACGTGCCCGTGTTCTGCCTTCTGGGCAATGTAGTTCGGAAAGGCTTTAGCGCGCAGGTGAACCTCGCCCCAGGGGCTGTGTCCCTTAGGAAGTGCAGGTGGGAACACACCGAGGGGATGTGATTTTTCTCAGGCTTCAGTAAAGTGCTGAACCATTACTTTGAACTTGTTGGCGTTAACGTGAGGTCCAGAGACTCCACTTCCCACCATCCCACGGGGTGGGAGGGGCCGAGGGCGCAGTTACTTTAGTTCCAAGTGTTGGCTACCGGGACTTGGTTTCCCAGCATCCTCTGGGTCTATTCTCCTTCCCATTTAATGGATAAAGGGGGCTACTCCAAAGACTTGCAAAGCTCCAAGCTATCCCTTTGCGAGAGGCGTCACTGTTTTGGTCCCCCCTGGGCTCTTGTAATTTAGGAAGCAGGAGGACACTAAAAACTGAGGGGAGGGGGCGTTGTTCGGGACCCATTCTATTCCGATCTCTTTCAACCCTTGAAGCGGTCAGCCTCCTGATGCAACTCACATTTTAAAATGCTAGATTGTATTCGAATATTGTAGTGTTCTGAGAGATGAACGTCTCAGGAGGGATTTCTTCTTCCTGGAACTTGAGCGCTTGGACTCCATTTTTCAACTACTCCCCTCCCTCTTCCTCCCCCGCGCCCCCCCAGCCCCCACATACCCTTCCCCCAATCGATTTGGGCACTTTCTTGAGCTCTGGGAAACTGAGAAGGAGGCAATGCAATACACTTCTTTTATCTCCAGGGGCTTGCCCATCTCCCACCTTTCGCGCACACTCACACAGGGGTACCTATTGGACTTCATTTCCCGGCAAGCCCCTGCGGTCTCATCTCACTTTGGGCTCAGAATTCGGCCTAGACTATTCCCCAGCATGCTTCGAGGTGTTAGTAACAACCTTTCTCTCTCTCACCCTGCCGTCCCCAAGTCTACCGGGAGGCAAACGTGAACTTCAATTCCCAGAAGCCACCACGCCTCCTGTAGCAACTGAGTTAAAGCCTTGGTGTCGACTACATTTCCCGATAGTAACAGCGGCCAAGCGTACTCCGGGGGAGAAAGGGACGGGCATTTCTGCTCCATTTCCTACCCTATCTCCGGAACTGCTGTAGACGCTGAAGCTGAAGAACCACACAGGACTCCATTTCCCGGCATGCTCCGGGAACTGCATTACATCCGCAATGCGGCGAGGGCGTGTTGACGACTCCATTTCCCAGCGTGCATCGGGCGCCGGTCTAAACGTCAATAGTCCACGTGCTACTAGACTCCACTTCCCGGCATGCATCGGAGCGACTGATTACTCAGCTCCCTGATGGAGTAACTGCGATTGCATTTGCAGGCGGTTCTCGGAGCTCGTCGTCTTCCTGCGTGATGATTTAGGACTCTGACTCTCTTTCCTAAAGTACTTCAGGCTCCGCCATCTGTAGTCGGCCGATGGATCGCCCAAGGCTTTATTTCCCGGCGTGCAGCGCGGCCCGTTGTCCTGGTCGTCTGGGCTGAGGCCTTCACGAACTCCATTTCCCGGCGTGCTGCGCGGCCATCTGTACAGCCCGCGGGCCGAGGGCGGCGACAGCGACGCGCAAGGCAGGCGGACTGCATCTCCCGACGTCCCCCGAGGCGGGCGCTGGGCCGG